AATATTTTATTTTTATTTTTATAGTGGCCCCCCGTGGGAATTGAACCCACAACCCTGGCATTGCAAACGCCATGCTCTATCAACTGAGCTACATCCCTGCCGGCCATTCCCTCCCCTACCCTGGACGACGCTGGGCCAATTGTGCGCCGCCAATGAGTCTCCCGGTCGCGGCCGGCTGCGACAGAGCCTGGATTCGAACCAGGATCTCTAGTGGCACAGTTAGCACTGCGATGCAGTGCCTTAGACCACTGCGCCACTCAGGAGTTGCCCTTCTTGAACACAGCATGGGTCTGGGTCGTACTAACAGAGACCTTAGTCTGTGATAGTGCGCCATCCCCAATGTGGTTATTATCAGCGCGTTCTGAGAGAAACGGGGGCGCCGATACGTTGGTTACGCCCGTAACCGTAGTAATCAGGCCCTCCGTGAACGCAGCATGGGTCTGAACTGCACTGACTGAGGCGTTAGCCTGAGACAGAGCGCCGTCCCGAATAGCGGTCGCGTCATCATGCCATTATCTGGCTGAGACTGCAGCCTGCTATGTGAGACACTCACTACAGCACTCCTAGGAGTCTGTAAAGTGAGGTCTTTATATGGTACACTTAATACCTTTTATATACCTGCCTTATGTGTGCATTCAGCAACGCACCATGGTGGGCTGAGCTGCACTCATAGTGGTAAGAGAGAGAGCGAGAGTGAGGAAGGTCGAACGCTCTCGGATGTATTATGGAAAAGGGGCTCTTTTTTGACAGTGTCAAGTAGAGCCAACTCTTTATTACACACATCAACAAAAAACATTCTCCTCCATACACTCAATGGTAGAGTGGGGGGGGACAGTGGGCTCGGTCACAGCAGGCGCTGTGTCGTCTTCCGTTCTCTCCCCCTCGCCTGTCATAAACGGCGTCTCTTCTGGCCGCCCTTCGGGTGATGCCAGGATGACGCTTTAATGACCTCTCTCACCGGCACCTCTGGCGCTGCAGGGGGGGGCGAGGCCCGCTCCCTTGCTGCTGGAGGCCGCCGTCTGACGCCAAGCTGTAGCGAGAGTAACGGCCGCCCTTCCTCATATCCACTTCCGGGTTGGAGGGAATGGGGGGCAGCTTAATCTCCCGCTGTTTAGCAGCCCACTCAATGAGACCTGAGAATTCAGGCACAGAGAGGCTGTGGCGTCATCATCCAGGGATGTAATGACCTCACAATTTCCCGAAGGAAAAGGGGTGTTAAACATCTGGGTCAGTGTAATGAATTGTTCCAATAGAATATTAATTTCTTCCCCAATAGCCCTGTCATCTCCTGAGTCAGCGTCTTCAGATGATGCCTCAGAAGCTGAGACTAACACTGATAGCACATCCTCAAGAGGAATATCCTCCCTAAAAATGCCCAACGCTGCTTCCACTCCTTCAAAAAGGAGGGCGCAGCTGGCGCATAGTGGGGGATTAATGAAGCTGTCCCTGGCGTGCTGTGTCCCTCAACCCACGAAACATATGTCGGGGGGGTCGACAGCCGCCAAGGGGAACAGCGACATTGAGCTCTGAAAAGAGCTTTTGTTAAATACTTACCCTATGGATAAGCTTGGTGTGCTCATTGTAGGACGACGTCGATGATCTGGAAAATCGACGGCGTTTTCTTCGTCCTGAGTCTTCTCTTCGTCTCTTCTTGGCTTCTTCAGTCTAGTCCAGTCGCTGAAGAAAAAGGGAGGCTGATTGAGGGGAGGCATCCCCTCTTATAGGGACACCTGTACTCCTATTGGCTGTAGGTGTGTGCATAATTTTGTCTCAGGCTGCTGCTGCCTTAGGGCAGAGGGTAAACCACTAGGAGCAGAGCTCCCCTATGGGGCGGAGCTCCACGATATAGAACTGCTCCAACTCCTTCAAGTTGGATGGGTTCCGCTGGTGTACAGGAATCTTTAAGTCATACCACAGATTCTCAATTGGATTGAGGTCTGGGCTTTTGCCATTCCAAGACATTTAAATGTTTCCCCTTAAACCACTCGGGTGTTGCTTTAGCAGTATGCTTAGGGTCATTGTCCTGCTGGAAGGTGAACCTCCGTCCCAGTCTCAAATCTATGGAAGACTGAAACAGGTTTCCCTCAAGAATTTCCCTGTATTTCGTGCCATCCATCATTCCTTCAATTCTGACCAGTTTCCCAGTCCCTGCCGATGAAAACATCCCCACAGTATGATGCTGCCACCACCATGCTTCACTGTGGGATTGGTGTTCTCGGGGTGATGGGAGGTGTTGGGTTTGCGCCAGACGTAGCGTTTTCCTTGATGGCCAAAAAGCTCAATTTTAGTCTCATCTGAACAGAGTACCTTCTTCCATATGTTTGGGGAGTCTCCCACATGGCTTTTGGCGAACACCAAACGTGTTTGCTTATTTTTTTCTTTAAGCAATGGCTTTTTTCTGGCCACTCTTCCGTAAAGCCCAGCTCTGTGGAGTGTGCAGCTTAAAGTGGTCTTATGGACAGATACTCCAATCTCCGCTGTGGAGCTTTGCAGCTCCTTCAGGGTTATCTTTGGGCTCTTTGTTGCCTCTCTGATTAATGCCCTCCTTGCCTGGTCCGTGAGTTTTGCTGTGCGGCTCTCTCTTGGTAGGTTTGTTGTGGTGCCATATTCTTTTATAACCCAACCTTGATCTGTACTTCTCCACAACGTTGTCCCTGAACTGTTTGGAGAGCTCCTTGGTCTTCATGGTGTTGCTTGCTTGGTGGTGCCCCTTGCTTAGTGGTATTGCAGACTCTGGGGCCTTTCAGAACAGGTGTATATATACTGAGATCATGTGACAGATCATGTGACACTTAGATTGCACACAGTTGGACTAATTATGTCCATTACATGAAATCCAAATAAAAATCAATTTAAATTACATGTTGTAATGCAACAAAATAGGAAAAATGCCAAGGGGGATGAATACTTTTGCAAGGCACTGTAAACATGTCACATAATCAATATGTTCAAGCTGTTGCTACTTAAAAACATATATTTTCTAAACATAATATTTTTTGGCACAATAAGTGCATTTCTTCATGTTGTTCATAACTACAAAGAAAGTGTTTGATCTGCTAAATCATCAAAATGTCAATGTAAAAATGTATAGTTGCAAAGCATGCAGGGTATTATGCTAATGAGCTCCTCCCCCAAACAAGACAAACAGTTTAACCAAACAAAATACATTTCAAATAAATGGAACTTCAAAATATCTTGTATATTATCTTTATAATAATATTCCCTGCTGTACTCATTTATGGGAGGTGACAGATTAATATTGGACATGCTTTGTTCCAGAAAATGTATAGCATTTTATATCACAGCATGCTTGTACAACACATATCCTTATCGGTGCCTTCAGAAAGTATTTACACCCCTTGACTTTTTTCACATTTTGTGGTGTTACAGCCTGAATTTAAAATGGGTTAAATTTAGATTTTGTGTCACTGGCTTACACGCAATACCCCCTTATGTCAAAGTGGAATTATGTTTTTAGACATTTTTACAAATTAATAAAAAATGAAAAGCTGAACTATCTTGAGTAAATAAGTATTCAACCCCTTTGTTATGGCAAGCCTAAATAAGAGTAAGAATGTGCTTAACAAGTCACATAATAGGTTGTATGGACTCACTCTGTGTACAATAATGGTGTTTAACATGATTTTCGAATGATTACCTCATCTCTGTACCCCACACATACAATTATCTGTAAGGTCTCTCAGTTGAGCAGTGAATTTCAAACACAGATTCAACCACAAAGACCAAGAAGGTTTTCCTATGCCTCACAAAGAAGGGCACCTAAAAAAAGCAGAAATTGAATATCCTTTTGAGCATGGTGAAGTTATTAATTGCACTTTGGCTGGTATATCAATACACCCAGTCACTACAAAGATACAGGCGTCCTTCCCAGCTCAGTTGCCGGAGAGGAAGGAAGGCCAATAGTGACTTTAAAACAGTTACAGAGTTTAATGGCTGTGATAGGAGAAAACTGAGGATGGATCAACAACATTGAAGTTACTCCACAATACTAACCTAAATGGCAGAGTGAAAAGAAGGAAGCCTGTACAGAATACAAATATTCCAAAACATGCATCCTGTTTGCAATAAGGCACTAAAGTAAAACTGCAAAGAAATTAGCTTTATGTCCTGAATACAAAGCGTTGTGTTTGGGGCAAATCCAACACAACACATCACTATTTTCAATCATGGTGGTAGCTGCATCATGTTATGGGTATGCTTCTCACGGGCAAGGACTAGGGAGTTTTTTAAGAATAATTTTAAGAAGAAGAATGTGCAAATATTGTACAATCCAGGTGTGCAAAGCTCTTAGATACTTACCCAGAAAGACTCACAGCTGCCCAAGGTAATCCTAACATGTATTTACTCAGGGGTGTAAATACTTATGTAAATAGAAGATTTCTGTATTTCATTTTCAATACATTTGGAAAAAAACATGTTTTCCCTTTGTCATTATAGGGTATTGTGTGTAGATGGGTCAGAAAAAAATTACTTCATCCATTTGAATTCAGGCTGTAACACAACAAAATGTGGAATAGGTCAAGGCGTATTAATATTTTCTGAAGGCACTGTATGTGCCCTCCTTGCCATGGCTGCCATATGTATTGGCTATACCAATTAAGCTAGTTAGGATAGGATAAACTTTAATGTCCCCCAGAGGGAAATTGTCTTGGACACCCAATATTCCTGTATACAAAAGCACTGTACATTACTTAACATATACACAATAGTTGCATGTTTGTCTTCTTAGTTCAGTGTCATTGGCCTTGTCTCATGTTTGTGTAGCTCCGGGGTGAAGTTTCCTCTAGGTATGGATCTAGGATCAGCTTCCCCTCCCCCAATCCTAACCCTGACCATTAGTGGGAAAAAAGCTAAACTGACACAAGATTAGCCACTAGGGGCACATTTACCCTGCTCCTTTTCATCTATAAATGTGTCTGTGTTTATCTGTCCTCTCCAGGGTCCTAAAGCATTCTGTGGATGCCACCTATGAGGACCAGGGTCCCAGCCCAGGCTTCCGTATGGAGACCTCTATCTTCTATGTGGTCTACTTTGTGGTCTTTCCCTTCTTCTTCGTCAACATCTTTGTGGCTCTCATCATCATCACCTTCCAGGAGCAGGGAGACAAGGCCATGTCAGAGTGTAGTCTGGAGAAGAACGAGGTACACAAACACATACACACACACACACAAACACACACACACACCTTCTAGGAGCAGGGAGACAAGGCCATGTCAGAGTGTAGTCTGGAGAAGAACGAGGTACAAACACATACACACACACACACACCTTCTAGGAGCAGGGAGACAAGGTCATGTCAGAGTGTAGTCTGGAGAAGAACAAGTTATCAATGCAAGGCCAAGTCATTCCTGCCTCTCCTCTGTTGAAACCGGCCCAGTGTTGGATCTCTCAACCCTTGTCAGAGCACCTGTGGATAAATTATTCAGCTGATTTCCTTGCTAGCCTGTTTTTTTCCCTCAAACACATCAACACAAAAGAACAGCAACACACCTGAGGCACAACCAGCCCAGTGTAGTCCATCCAGCTCTCTCTCTATTTCCTACATCACAGTTTGGGACACAGAGAGTTTCAATTACTGTGTCTCAAATGGCACCCTATTCCCTGGTGCATCATAAAGGGAATAGGGTACCATTTGGGACGCAGGCAGACTCTGTGTTTCATGTCTGTAGCTCAGTTGGTAGAGCATGGCGCTTGCAACGCCAGGATTGTGGGTTTGTTTCCCACGGGGGGCCAGTATGAAAATGTATGCACTCACTAACTGTAAATCGCTCTGGATAAGAGCGTCTGCTAAATTACTAAAATGTAAAAATGTTAACTATTGGCGAGTGATCAGAGAGACTCATTTTGCTGCCTTGTCACGGGATATTAAACACTTCTGGAAACTGTTGGGATTCATGCCAGCGCTTGTGGGACGTTAGTTTTGATGTTTTTCATTTGATTGTACCTTGGTCCTTACTTGGGTTGCAAAATTCCGGGAACTTACAATAAATTCCCTAGTTTTCCTGAAATCCTGGTTGGAGGATTCCCGGAATTGCAGGGAATAAGCAGAAAACCAGGATTTCTGGAAAAGCAGGGAATTTATTGAAAGTTCCCAAAATTTTGCAGCCTTAGTTCTTACTTTATGTTTCGCTTTTTTATGCGAATAATCAGTGTTTGAACAATATCAGATCTGATTAGGGAGATGTGACTTTCACAAAGAAAATCATATAATGTTTTTTTATGCACTTTGTTCCCTCCCTCCCTCCCTCTTTCCTGCCTCATCCCTCTTTGTCTCCCTCCATCCCTCTGTCCCTCTCTCCCACCTCCAACACAGAGAGCTTGTATCGACTTTGCCATCAACGCCAAGCCTCTGACGCGTTACATGCCAGCAGACAAGCAGTCGTTCCAGTATAAGATGTGGAAGTTTGTGGTGTCGCCGCCCTTTGAGTACTCCATCATGACCATGATCGCACTCAACACTGTGGTGCTGATGATGAAGGTCAGTGACGTCTCCCACGCACCAGGGGCGTGATATTTGGTGGTTGGGAAATCTGATCCTAGATCTGTTGTAAGGGAACATTTCTACCTTGAGCGGGATAACCTTTGGGAGAGGGTTTTGGAATGAGTAAGCAGTATAATGTGGATGGATAAGTTAAACGTATCCATTGTTGATGTACAAGCTAGTTTTAGGAGCAGCCTCTCTGTTGTTAATGCCCTTAACTATATGGCTGATCCAGTTGGCTTATCTCCAGGTGTTGACCTGTACAGGTCTGTCAGACTGAGGGACAGTGTTTTACACACACACACACACACACACAAACATACACACACAGCAGGTAACACACTACGCCATGAAGGACTGAAATCCTGTAGCGCCCGCAAGGTCCCCCTGCTCAAGAAAGCACATATACAGGCCCGTCTGAAGTTTGCCTTTGAACATCTGAATGATTCAGAGGAGAACTGGGTGAAAGTGTTGTGGTCAGATGAGACCAAAAGGGAGCTCTTTGGCATCAACTCAACTCGCCGTGTTTGGAGGAGGAGGAATGCTGCCTATGACCCCAAGAACACCATCCCCACCGTCACACATGGAGGTGGAAACATTATGCTTTGGGGGTGTTTTTCTGCTAAGGGGACAGGACAACTTCACTGCATCAAAGGGACTATGGATGGGGCCATGTACCGTCAAATCTTGGGTGAGAACCTCCTTCCCTCAGCCAGGGCATTGAAAATCGGTCGTGGATGGGTATTCCAGCATGACAATGACCCAAAACACACGGCCAAGGCAACAAAGGAGTGGCTCAAGAAGAAGCACATTAAGGTCCTGGAGTGGCCTAGCCAGTCTCCAGACCTTAATCCCATAGAAAATCTGTGGAGGGAGCTGAAGGTTCGAGTTGCCAAACGTCAGGCTCGAAACCTTAATGACTTGGAGAAGATCTGCAAAGAGGAGTGGGACAAAATCCCTCCTGAGATGTGCGCAAACCTGGTGGCCAACTACAAGAAATGTCTGACCTCTGTGATAGCCAACAAGGGTTTTGCCACCAAGTACTAAGTAATGTTTTGCATAGGGGTCAAATACTTATTTCCCTCATTAAAATGCAAATCAATTTATAACATTTTTGACATGCGTTTTTCTGGATTTTTGTTGTTGTTATTCTGTCTCTCACTGTTCAAATAAACCTACTATTAAAATTATAGACTGATCATGTCTTTGTCAGTGGGCAAACGTACAAAATCAACAGGGGATCAAATACTTTTTTCCCTCACTGTATGTACAGTACTATAGGTGTGTGTGTGTGCGTGTGTGTGTGTGCGTTTGCATGTGACAGATTGACAGAAAGATTAAGAAAGAGGGGAAGGATCACTTTCACAAGTATTATAATGGTATGTCTGTAGGACATTGGAAATGGACATGCCCATTATCATTTCACTCATGTTCAGTGGGAGTGAAAGTTGACCTCTGATGTCTTCCTGACCTCTGATTTCTGCCTTCAGTTTCACGGTGCTCCGGAACTGTACGAGGCCATGCTGAAGTACCTGAACATAGTGTTCACAGCTCTCTTCACACTGGAGTGCATCCTGAAGATCATCGCTTTTGGACCACTGGTGAGCCTCCATTGTGCCATACACTACTGTACATGGTCTCTATCTATCCAAGCATTTGGGAAGATAGGGTGTAGACTACTTTTGGAATCACTGAAGTTGTCCTTTTTGGGAAAAATAGATGACTCTGGTTTGAGTACCATACAAAAACGGTGCTATCTAGAACCTAAAAGGGTTCTTCGGCTGTCCCCATAGAAGAACCCTTTGAAAAACCTTTGTTGGTGCCAGGTAGAACCCTTTTAGTTCCAAGTAGAAACATTTTATGTTCCATGTAGAACCCTTTCCACAGAGGGTTCTACATGGAACCCAAAATTGTTCTACCTGGAATCAAAAAGGGTTCTCCTATGGGGACAGCCGAATAACCTTTTTGGAACCCTTTGTTCTAAGAGTGCAAGATGGGAAAGAGAGAGAAACAGAGAGGCAGAGATAGAAAGGGGGAAGTCGGGACAGAGACTGATAAAGAGAGAGCCTTTGTGAGAACGTTGAAAGACTTTGGGTGTTGATGGATGGTGAATGTTGAGTAAAAGGGGAGGGGGAATAGGATGAGGGTAAGCTGGCAAGCCTTCAGCAAGCGCCACGGGGGGAGAGCTGTGTGTGTGCGTGCCTCAAGCATGCATGCGTGTTTGTGTGTTGGGGATGACGCAACAGCTTCAGATGAGGGGATGAGGGTGGGGAGGTAAATCAGAGGTGTGGGAGGGATAAATCTCCCAGGCAGCGCCGGGCCGTCTGGTCCCTCAGCGAGGCGTTTCATCTCCAGCTTCATCCCCACTTACCATGCTCATTTATTAAATGGCTTTTCTCACACACCGCTTACCTCCACCTGTTCAGCACTTAGTACAGACGGATGCCCCCCCCCCCCCCCCCCCCCCCCCCCCCTCTCGCTTTCTCTCTCTCTTTCTCCCTTTCTTTCTCTCTCTCTCTCTCTCCGGGAGCCTCTTCCATTCTAATCGCTGTGTTTCCCAGGCTCACTGCCATGCCACCTGACAGATTAGGAGGTCTGTGCCACTGTTTGGAAGACTATTTCGAATCTCTAAGCATCTGAGTGTGTGGGGAGGGATGGGTGTGGTGTCTGCACCTTACATAGGTTGGGCATGAGTAATCGAGTACTTGAGTACTGGAACTGACATCAAAACTAGATCTTTAACCAGATATCCTTTTTTTTCAAATACTGTAAAACTATTTGGTCGAAATGTTATCTTGAAGACAGCATTCATTTCATTTGACTGTTTCATTTGAACTTGTGCATTTGCGGGACACAACAAAACATAAACCAAGCCAAGCAACACAGTTTGCTCCCTAAATTCCCTTTCCCCTCCATGTCTCACTCACTCAATTGCGTTCTGATCGCTCCCTACAGAAATAAATGCCTATAAAAACATATCTAACTGATGGGATATACAAGCCACATTCCTTGCCAAATGAAGACCGTTTTATCACAAATTCTAAATGGACTGGTTGACTGAAGTAGGGAAATACAGTATGTGTTCCAACAATGAGCTTCAGTTTTGGAATAATTGTATAATTTTCCGTTTATGGGCTACTTTGCGGTTGTCACTAGTTACCACAGCCACAAAGTAAAAATGGTCTATATCGTAAAAATTCATGAAAACAAAAATTCACTTTTTGTTCTTAATTCAATGTTAGGCATAAGGTTAACAGTGTGGTTAGGGTTAAGTTTAAAATCAGATTTTAAAAACCGAAATTGTAGACACAATCATGGTTTATGACTCTTTGGCTGTGGTAACTAACGTTAGTGACGACCCTACTTTGCGAACTGCTAGTGACATTTAGAATTGGTTAGCCTAGGCTATTACCCCCCTAAAAATAAACACGTTCCACGATGAAAATATGCAAAAACATTAGATTGATATAGACAAAGAGCGTATTTTCATCAGAATCATTAAGCCTAGGCCTATTCACCAAACAGATGTTCTGGCAATAATTCATCCCCATGCAGTGTTCGATGTAGAATTGCAACCCAGTATCACAGATTATACGTGAAATAAACACGAAATACTTCTTGGAAATTTGTGACAGGCACATGAAAAAGTTTTTTTTTTTTATACAGTCCATTTCAATCACAGATAAAGACAGTAGGTTACTTAAGACAGAAACAATAGGTGGTCGGGGAGGATGGGTGGGCATATAACGCGAACGACTTACTTGTCTGCTAAATTAACAAAACCAGGCTATGCCATTGCACAGCCATAGGTATCTACAAGCAAGCACCACACTGCTGAGGTTATTACCTTTTTGAAGATTGTGTTCCACGATATACACTGAACAAAAATATAAATGCAACATGTAACAATTTCAAAGATTTTACTGAGTTACAGTTCATATAAGGAAATCAGTCAATTGAAATTATGCCCTAATCTATGGATTTCACATGACTGGGAAAACAGATATGCTTCTGTTGATCACAGATACAGTACCTTAAAAATATATATAGGGGCATGGATCAGAAAACCAGTCAGTATCTGTTGTGTCCACCATTTGCCTCATGCAGTGTGACACATATCCGTCGCATAGAGTTGATCAGGCTCTTGATTGTGGCCTGTGGAATGTTGTCCCAATCCTCTTCAATGGCTGTGTGAAGTTGCTGGATATTGTCGGGAATTGGAACACGCTGTCGTACACGTCGATCCAGAGCATCCCAAACATGCTCAATGGGTGACATGTCTGGTGAGTATGCAGGGCATGGAAGAACTGGGAAATGTTCAGCTTCCAGGAATTGTGTACAGATCCTTGAGACATGGGGCCGAGCATTATCATACTGAAACATGATGTGATGGCGGCAGATGAATGGCACGACAATGTGCCTCAGGATCTCATCACGGTATCTCTGTGCATTCAAATTGCCACGATAAAATGCAGTTTTGTTCGTTGTCTGTAGCTTTATGCCTGCCCATACCATAACCCCACTGCCACCATGGGGCAGTGGTTCACAACGTTGACATCAGCAAACTGCTCGCCCACACGATGCCATTCACGCTGTCTGCCATCTGCCTGGTACAGTTGAAACCGGGATTCATCCGTGAAGAGCGCACGTCTCCAGCGTGTCAGTGACCATCAAAGGTGTGCATTTGCCCACTAAAGTCGGTTATGACGCCGAACTGCAGTCAGGTCGAGACCCTGGTGAGGACGACGAGCACGCAGATGAGCTTCCCAGAGACGGTTTCTGACAGTTTGTGCAGAAATTTTTCGGTTGTGCAAACCCACAATTTCATCAGCTGTCCGGGTGGCTGGTCTCAGACGATCCCACAGGTGGAGAAACCGGATGTTGAGGTCCTGGGCTGGCATGGTTAAACGTGGTCTGCGGTTCTGAGGCCGGTTGGACGTACTGCCAAATTTTCTAAAACGACATTGGAGGCAGTTTATGGTAGAGAAATGTACATTACATTCAAAATGAACATTACATTCTCTGGCAAGAGCTCTGTTGGGCGTTCCTGCAGTCTGAATGCCAATTGCATGCTCCCTCAAAACTTGAGACATCTGTGACATTGTGTTGTGTGACAAAACTGCACATTTTAGAGTGGCCTTTTTATTGTCCACAGCACAAGGTGCACCTGTGTAATGATCATGCTGTTTAATCACCTTCTTGATATGTCACACCTGTCACGTGGATGAATTATCTTGACAAAGTAGAAATGCTCACTAACAGGGATGTAAACAAATTTGTGCACACCATTTTAGGGAAATAAGGTTTTTGTGCGTATGGAACATTTCTGAGATCTTATATTTCAGCTCATGAAACATGGGACCAACACTTTAAATGTTGCGTTTATATTTTTATTCAGTGTAATATAACCAGTTGATACAGTTTGAATAAATGAATCATAAATGGCACTTGCAATTAGGACTTGTTATCTGTAAAGGTTATGATAAATTCGGCATTGTTGCTCATTGTTGGCATATAGATAAATGCACACATATTTTTTTTCAGTGCCACCCTTGTTCTAAAAATAGCTTTTTTAATTATTGGAGTACTTGAGTACTCGAAAAATAATCATACGAGTACTTGAACAGACAAAAAAGGCCAACTGCCCATCCCTAGTCTGTAAGACAGTGTGGGAATGTAAGCTGTTTGTGTGTGTCGTGGAGTCAGTGACACACTGTAGGCTATAGATGGATGGCCCTTTAATAAAACTCAAACCAACTCATTAAAAGCTGCCTCATTTGAGGAGCTTAGAAGACATGTTCTGTAGAGAGTGGCCTGAGAGAAAAGCATTTGAAGAGCAAGGGTGTGGTACTAATTACAGTAAAACATCTGTATCCTTCTCTCTCTCTCTCTCTCTCTTCTCTCTCTTCCTCTCTCTTCCCCTGTTTGCAGAATTACCTGAAGGCAGCCTGGAACGTGTTTGACTTTGTGACAGTATTGGGGAGTATCACAGACATCTTGGTCACAGAGATTAAGGTAAACACTGCTACCATGTCCCTATACAGTATCTTACTTCATGTAAGAGCTACTACAGTACCATGTGCCCATTCAACTTCTTATATGTAAAGACATCAGCCAAAAGGGATTCTCCTATATGCTGTCCTGCCTGTATGCCTTCACTCATAATAACTTTACTCCTTGAAGGAGAATGTTTTCAATGGAAAGTAATTTCACAAGGTTTAACCCAGTTACAGCACTCGTGGTGAGGTATTCAGTGGAAGCCAGCAGCAGATCCTCCTAGAAAGCTGCTGGGGATAGCTGAGAGCTGCCTGCCGGGACTGAGTATTCAGTGTATCCTGCTGGATGGATTAGTATGGAGCTGGGGGACAGACAGAAGTGGCAGGCAGAGTTTGAAATGGGGATCAGGAAAAGCCTCTGTGCAGATTGCAGCACAGTAGCACTAAAGTGGATTGGAGTAGTCCGTTTACTGTTTAACGCTCTTTGTGGAAGAAGTCTCTTTTTTGTGGGATTTCTCTCCATGTGACTGTCAGTCTTTTTCTTCTCTCTCTCTCTGGTTTTTCTCTCTCTTTCTCTCACTGTGTTTCCATCTTCTGCTATGTCTTTGCTGGCGCCTGACCTGTGCCATCACTCTGCCAACCTCTGCCCCCTCTCTGACACTATGGGTCGCTCTAGACGGTAAGTGACTTTCCTTGTTCCCGCTGCTTTTGACTATTCCTTTGGTGACCAGTCTATCTTTTGGTCTTGGTCCTAACTTTTTCCTGAATACATTTATGTTATGTGGTGCAATAGTTCTTAAATTACTTGAAGCAGTTACATAAATGGATAGGGAGACACCCTTCACTTCACTGAAATTGGATCTGCTTCACTGATCCCCCTTGCTAACCACAGCCATTCTTAGTGTAACCTAGATCTATTCCAGGACCAGTTTGAATGAACAGTTTGTGTCTCCTCCTGCAGGACAAGCTGATCAACCTGAGTTTCCTAAGGCTGTTCAGGGCGGCCAGGCTCATCAAGCTATTGAGGCAGGGCTATACCATCCGCATCTTGCTATGGACCTTTGTCCAGTCTTTCAAGGTGAGTCACTGACCCCTGACCTCTTACCTTTCACCCTTTGGTTTGTCCTTAGAGTTGAGAATTACATGGTATTCATCTGATCAATTGTAGTGATTTGAATGAATGTTAGGCCTATTCATTATGTTGCTATAACCATAAGCATATCGAACTGTAAGGGGAAATAAGGAAATACAATAAGGAATTTTTTTTGGTTGCTTTCATTTAATGGGTCTTTGGAGTGATATTTATGTTTATTTGGAGTCTTAAAGAAGTTTGTTCTATGGAGCCTCCCATAAAAGTTTTGTCATACAGAAAACAAGGGCATTGCCAGCAGTAGTTAATCTGATAGCAGGTTAAATGTGTGGTGATGAGAGCTTTTAAGCCCCTATGAAAATGGATAGTTGCTGCAGTGTTAAAAGGTGTGTCTCTAATTGCGATGAATGTTTTCCCCTCCCTTGTCTGGGATATAAATATGTGATTAAGGAAATCAACTCTGCGGCTAAAGTTGGCTGCTCTGTTCGTTCCATAAATAAGACTATTAAACCTCACTGGGATTTTAATTTATCTTGTGTGTGTTTTCTATTTCCAGGCCCTACCTTACGTCTGCCTCCTCATCGCTATGCTCTTCTTCATCTATGCCATCATCGGCATGCAGGTGAGTAATAACATACACACACACGGACACGCACACTCCTCTTTAACAGATGGATCCAACCTTTAGAGTTGATTGCTCATTTAAAAGGAAGCAATGGTGATAGCCAAATTGTAAAATTGCTGAATTGTATGCACAATGAGGGTACGTTCCATCCACTATATTAGCATTGCATTGTAAATCAATGGTAATTGTGTCTTCTGGTAAAAGAGCCGTCGTTTAATCAGCGATGCTGTTTAATGACTGTGGTGCCCCAGAGGGCTGGATCAGGACACCAACCCCCCCCATAATGAGTGACAAACTTCACTTCCCAATTAAACAGGGAACCAACAGAAGCTTATCTGGCTCTTTGTTATCATCAGGACTAACTGTGCATCCCAAATGGCACACTACATACCAAATGGGTCCTGGTCAAAAGTAGTGCACTATAGAGGGAATATCAAAAGTAGTGCACTATATTGGGAATAGGGTGCCATTTGGGAGGTACCTTATAAGTGTAGACTTGGGTAGAATAGAAGGCATCATCATGTCGTTGGATTCTCATGTTATTAGATTATCAACATCTCTAGATAGCTATACAACATAATCACTATGCCTTCTATGCTTCACCCCCGCCCACACACACACACACACACACACACACACACACACACACAGCCCCTGGCACGATTTGAGAAAAAGACTGATTCCTGGCAAAAGTGGCTAATGTGTTTTTCGGAGATAACATTACATCATATCGAATCCTGCAAATGCTGATACATTCAGCTCTAGCTCTTCCTTATACAAATCACATGCCCATTGCTTATTCACACATACAGTACGTGTGTCTCAAATGGCCCCCTATTCTCTACATAGTGCACTACTTCTTACCAGGACCCATAAAACTCTGGTTAAAATTCATGCACTATATAGGGAAAAGGGGGCCATTTGGGACGAAACCATAGATAGCATACAGGGAATCCCTCTAACTGCTATGCTGGCGCTTTCTGCTTCCTTCAGGTGTTTGGAAACATTGAGCTGAATGAGGAATCGGCCATCAACCACCACAACAACTTCCAGACATTCTTTCAGGCTCTGATGCTTTTGTTCAGGTGACCAAGCCTCCACCACGTTCTCCATATTCTTCCTATTCTATTAGACGTTTTCTCACATATCGGTCTGTTCTTTATATTGCAATGTAATGTAGTAAAATAGCCATGTAGTTCCTTCTGCCCATGGTGGTGTTTGTGATGGATTTACTGTACAGTTTCCAATGATGGATATACAGTGCTTACATTGCATGTGTTTGTTTGTGTGTGTGTGTCTGTGTCCGTGTGTGTGTGTCGCAGGAGTGCAACAGGCGAGGCGTGGCATGAGATCATGCTGTCGTGTCTGAGTAACCGTCCGTGTGATAAACTGTCAGGGTCTGGAGGGAAGGAGTGCGGCAGTGACTTTGCTTATTTCTACTTTGTCTCCTTCATCTTCCTCTGCTCCTTCCTGGTCAGTATGGGCCATCACAAATGAATTACCATTCATAATGACCAATGAATTACCAATGATCAGCAATGAATAACCATTCAGTATACAGACCCATGCATTATCTACTCACATATGCATACACATTACCTGCACAGTACTCACAGACACTCTCTTACTCGGATGAAATGGTCCAATTATTATTGGTCAGTCCCTTTTTGTTGGCAATTTGAGTCCTCTCTGATACAATGTTGTTGACCACAACTTGACCACAACTCTTACCTCCCACCTCTCTACCTCCCTATTTCTCCCTCCAGATGCTCAACCTTTTTGTGGCGGTCATCATGGACAACTTTGAGTACCTAACCAGAGACGCTTCCATCCTGGGGCCTCACCACCTGGACGAATTTATCCGCGTCTGGGCTGAGTACGACCCTGCTGCCTGGTACGTATCATTAATCCTCCTACAGGTGAAATTGTTTTCCCTTTGTCAAGACAGCATCAGTTTCAGGTTCAGTAGTGAAGAGGTGAAGGGAGGAGATGAGGGGTGGAAGTGGTGGTGGTAGTCAAGGGTATAGTAAATAGACGTTGGCACGACAAAGATGGCTCTAAGTTCCAGTGGGATGACTGTGACGTTTGACGACGTTTGACGGTCAGGGAGGGCGCGTCTGAGTGACGTTAAGATGGGCCCTGGAGTGCCGACTAGGGCCCCACAGGCAGACTGATGCATGTAAATCCATGGTTCCACTCCGCTCAACTCCGTTCACCATCCGCAAGGCTCCCCTCACTAAGCTGGCGGCTCTAAAGCTCCTCTCTGTCTGTCATTGTGGAGGGGGAAGAAACTATTTAAATCACACAGTCACAGCTTTATCTAGCTCCACTGCTTTCCAAAGTCTTCACCAGACACTATTGAGAAATACTGAAACTCTAAGAGCAAAAATAAAAAGTTTGGCTGAGATGCATCAGGATGAGATGTCCCAAATGCCACCCTATTCCCGATGGGCCCTAGTCAAAAGTATTGCATTTACATTTTACGTCATTTAGCAGACACTCTTATCCAGAGCGACTTACAATTAGTGAGTACATACATTAATTTTTTCATACTAGCCCCCCGTGGGAATCGAACCCACAACCCTGGCGTTGCAAACGCCTTGCTCTACCAACTAAGCTACATCCCTGCCGGCCATTCCCTCCCCTACCCTGGACCAATTGTGCACCACCCCATGGGTCTCCCGGTCGCAGCCAGCTACAACAGAGCCTGGATTCGAACCAGGATCTCTAGTGGCACAGCTAGCACTGCGATGCAGTGCCTTAGACCACTGCGCCACTCGGGAGGTATTGCACTATATAGGGTGCCATTTGGGTCATAGATCCAGACTGTGTTGCTCAGTCTCATCACCTGTAGCCCTCTGATGTTAGAGACAGCCATTGAGGGGGAGGAATCATGATTTAGGCTACGTCCCAAACACAAGAGGTTGGTGGCACCTTAATTGGGGAGAACAGGCTCGTGGTAATGGCTGGAGTGGAATCAGTGGAATGGTATCAAATACTCCAAACACATGGTTTCCATGTGTTTAATGCCATTCCATTCGCTCAATTCCAGCCATTATTATGAGCCGTCCTTCCCTCAGCAGCCTCCACTGGTCCCAAATGGCACCCTATTCCCTTCATGTTGACCAGAGTCAAAAGTAGGGTTCAATTTGGGACGCAGACTTAAAACCTCCCAGTAACCATGTAGTCATATATGACTATAGATAGGTAAGATTGTTATTTATACACTGAGTATACAAAACATTAGGAACTCTTTACATGACATAGACTGACTAGGTGAATCAAGGTGAAAGCTATGATCCCTTATTGATGTCACTTGTTAAATCCACTTCAATCAGTGTGTATGAAGGGGAGGAGACAGGTTAAATGCATATTTTTAAGCCTTGAGTCAATTGAGACATAGATTGTGTATGTGTTCCATTCAGAGGGTGTCAAAATATTTAAGTGCCTTTGAACAGGGTATGGTAGTAGGTGCCAGGCGCAACGGTTTGAGTGTGTCAAGAACTGCAACGCTGCTGGGTTTTTCACACTCAACAGTTTCCCGTGTGTATCAAGAATAGTCCACCACCCAAAACACATTCAGCCAACTTGACACAACTGTGGGAAGCATTGGAGTCAACATGGGCCAGCATCCCTGTGGAATGCTTTAGACACCTTGTAGAGTCCATGCCCCAAAGAATTTAGGCTGTTCTGAGGGCAAAATGGGGTGCAACTCAGTATTAGGAAGGTACTTCCCACAGTTGTGTCTAGTTGGCTTGATGTCTTTTGGTGGTGGATCATTCTTGATACACACTAGAGTGTGAAAAACCCAGCAGAAGGTATTCCTACTGTTTTGTATATTCAGTTGAAGTCGGAAGTTTACATACACCTTAGTCAAAAACATTTAAACTCAGTTTTTCACAATTCCTTAGGTCAGTTAGGATCACCACTTTATTTTAAGAATGTGAAATGTCAGAATAATAGTAGAGAGAATTATTTCTTTCAGCTTTTATTTCTTTCATCACATTCCCAGTGGGTCAGAAGTTTACATACACTCAATTAGTATTTGGTAGCAATGCCTTTAAATTGTTTAACTTGGGTGAAACGTTTCGGGTAGCCTTCCACAAGCTTCCCACAATAAGTTGGGTGAATTTTGGCCCATTTCTCCTGACAGAGCTCGTGTAACTGAGTCAGGTTTGTAGGCCTCCTTGCTCGCACGTGCTTTTTCAGTTCTGCCCACAAGTTTTCTATAGGATTGAGGTCAGGGCTTTGTGATGGCCACTCCAATACCTTGACTTTGTTGTCCTTAAGCCATTTTGCCACACCTGCTTGGGGTCATTGTCCATTTGGAAGACCCATTTGCGACCAAGCTTTAACTTAATAATATGCCATTTAGCAGACGCTTTTATCCAAAGCGACTTACAGTGATGCGTGCATACATTTTTGTGTATGGGTGGTCCCGGGGATCGAACCCACTACCCTGGTGTTACAAGCGCCGTGCTCTACCAGCTGAGCTACAGAGGACCAACTTTCTGACTGATGTCTTGAGATGTTGCTTGAGATGTTGCTTCAATATATCCACATACTTTTCCTTCCTCATGATGCCATCTATTTTGTGAAGTGCACCAGTCCCTCCTGCAGCAAAGTACCCCCACAGCATGATGCTGACACCCCCGTGCTTCACGGTTGGGATGGTGTTCTTCAGCTTGCAAGCGACCCCCTTTTTCCTCCAAACATAACGATGGTCATTATGGCCAAACAGTTCTATTTTTGTTTCATCAGACCAGAGGACATTTCTCCAAAAAGTACGTTCTTTGTCCCCATGTGCAGTTGCAAACCGTAGTCTGGCTTTTTTAATGGCGTTTTTGGAGCAGTGGCTTCTTCCTTGCTGAGCGGCCATTCAGGTTATGTCGATATAGGACTCGTTTTACTGTGGATATAGATACTTTTGTACCTGTTTCCTCCAGCATCTTCACAAGGTCCTTTGCTGTTGTTCTGGGATTGATTTTCACTTTTCGCACCAAAGTACGTTCATCTCTAGGAGACAGAACGCGTCTCCTTCCTGAGAGGTATGACGGCTGCATGGTCCCATGGTGTTTATACTTGCGTACTATTGTTTGTACAGATGTACGTGGTACCTTCAGGCGTTTGGAAATTGCTCCCAAGGATGAACCAGAGGTGTGGAGGTGTACAAATTTTTTTCTGAGGTCTTGGCTGATTTCTTTTATTTTCCCATGATGTCAAGCAAAGAGGCACTGAGTTTGAAGGTAGGCCTTGAAATACATCCACAGGTACACCTCCAATTAACTCAAATGATGTCAATTAGCCTATCAGAAGTTTCTAAAGCCATGACATCATTTTCTGGAATTTTCTAAGCTGTTTAAAGGCACAGTCAACTTAGTGTATGTAAACTTCTGACCCACTGGAATTGTGATATAGTGAATTATAAGTGAAGTTATCTGTCTGTAAACAATTGTTGGAAAAATTACTTGTGTCATGCACAAAGTAGATGTCCTAACCGACATGCCAAAACTATAGTTTGTTAACAAGAAATTTGCGGAGTGGTTGAAAAACGAGTTTTAATGACTCCAACCTAAGTGTATGTAAACTTCCGACTTCAAATGTATGCACTATATCTACAGGTGTGCTTTATTAAATGACCATGAATGCATGCAATGGAGGATATAATGTAATAGGAGCAGAAATGGTTGTGTTTGTGTTCTAACCTCTTTTAACCTGTGTATTTTACAGCGGAAGGATATGCTATCAGGATATGTACAAATTGTTGCGTTTTATCTCGCCTCCTCTCGGCTTAGGGAAGAAGTGCCCTAATAGGGTGGCCTACAAGGTTTGCAACCCCACACACCCCTTAATCATAATGGGATGTGGTGGAAGTGGAAAATGAGTGACTGTGAATGACTCCTAGTGCCAGAGATTCCACCACACACACACAAGCATTCACCTTCCATACTAACCGGCCGGTGGGTAACCATGGCAACTAAGGAAAACAATGCCACAATGTAGGTCTCATTACAATATACTGGCCAGGCTTCACCATCAAGCTCTTTTTTCACCATACTGAATATAGCACAGTATGCTGTATGCAGCATGCCTATATGGTTGTCTCGAAGTTGGCCCGAGAGACTGTTTGAACCACTGCACACACAGAGTAAAGTAAAGGTTATGAGCATTGTGTGCTTTGTTTCCAATGTTCAATTTGGTTACCGCTGATGTCTCGTAGCATGCAGAAACAGATGACATCTAAACAGTGACGCCACAACCTCCCCCTGACATACTCTATATATACTGTACATGTCTCAATCAAACGTCATGATCCTGCCATCCCGACATCTCTCCTCAGGGAGTTCCCGGAAAACACCCCACCCTCCTCCTGTCCAATCCTGGGATCCATCCCTGTTTTAGGCAGGACAGGGATGAGATCCCGCCCTGGAATCCACTGCCCTGGAACCACTGCACTGGAAATCTAAAATAACACAGATTTCTGTTTTTGTCATTTTCTCTTCTGTTTTACCATCTTCTTTTGGTCATTTCTAACTCCCTCCTCCTCCTTCAACCTTATCTGGATACCTCCATCCCTCTCTCTGACCTCTGTGGTCTCCTGTGACATCTTCCCCTGTGAAGTGGCCGTATGACCTACCTTGATATGTATGAGATGCTCCGCCACATGTCCCCTCCACTAGGTTTGGGAAAGAAATGCCCGCCCAGAATCGCCTACAAGGTAGACCCTTTCCCTCTCTTCTCCCTTCCTCCCCCAGCAATCTTCCTCTCACCTCTGCCTCTCACTCCCACCTGTCCTGTATCTCCCGGCTTCTGTCAGACTGTCACAGCCACTTCCTGCTGGGCTCTTGTTTTGTCCTCGTTGTTGCTCTTTCTGTCTGTTTGTGACGTTCTCTTCTGCCTTCTGCCCCCTCACAGCTTTTGGCGTTTAGTGTGCTCACTTCTCTGTCTGGCCATTTAGACTTGTTTTGTTTTTAGACTATGTTTTCATTATGTTAAACTAAGAAGAAATTAAGACGGACAGTTGACACAAGCCACACTATTACCATGAAGTTAGCTAGAAACTCGTCGCAGGTTTTGAAAAATCACTGATTTTACTTTGATGTCATCATCTGACACATTCTTAGGACCTTTTCTTCTTATTGTTTTAACCAAACATGCCATTGTCACATAATTAGAGTCATATGGTAGAGTAATATACCTTTCCCCTCTTCTCCATTCTATACTCTATGGGCTGTGCTGTGTTGAGCGGCAGTATTTAGAGAGCTTGTATTGTGGACCAAGGTAAATCTGGTTCAGCCCTCAGGTACACTCTGTGTGTGGCATTTACCTCTGAGTGTGGTACTTACTATGAGTGGCTCCAGCGTGTACACAACTGTCTAGATGAATCATGGTTAAGACAGCCCTAGCCGTGCCCTGGATAAAAACGTCTGCCAAGCGACTAGTTGGATCTGACGTGTGTGGGGTCTCCAAATATAACTCCTGCTTTAGAGAGATTAATGTACAGGGAGAAATGAGAGAGAGACGCGATGCACTAGAGCGAAGCTTTTTTTCCCTCTTTTTTACTTTCTTATTTTCTTTCATTTTTCTTTCTTCTTTGCTGTTCTGGAAAATGCATTTCGCTCAACTCCCTCCTTAATGAATGCAGTGGTTCCTGTGTGTCTCTGTCCCTCTGTCAAACTCTGTTTATAACTCCTTTGTTGTCCCTCTGTCAAGGCCTGCGTCTTGTTGTGTTGGTATGTACGGCAGGACCAAATCGGTGAGATAAGTAGAACTAGTCTATGTAATGCTTTGTAGGTTAACAGTAAAACCTTAAAATCCGCTCTAGCCTTAACAGGAATCACGTGTAGAAAGGCTATGGCTGGAGTAATATGATCAAACTTTTGGGTTCTTGTCAAGATTCTAGCAGACGTATTTAGCACTAGCAGAAGTTTATTTAGCGCCTAATCCGGGTATCCGGAGAGTAGAGCATTGCAGTAGTCTAATCTAGAAGTGACAAAAGCATGGATTAGCTTTTCTGCATCATTTTTGGACAAAACGTTTCAGATTTTTTCAATGTTACAAAGCTTGAAATATTTGTATATGTTCATCAAAAGAGAGATCAGGGTCCAGAGAAACGCTGAGGTCCTTCACAGTTTTATTTGAGACGACTGTACAACCATCAACATTCATTGTCAGAACCGACAGCAGATCTCTGTTTCTTGGGACCTACAACTAGCATCTCTGTTTTGTCCGAATTTAAAAGTAAAACATTTGCCACCATCCACATCCTTATGTCTGAAACACAGCCTTCCAGGGTAGGTAGTTTTGGGGCTTCACCATGTTTCATTGAAATGTACACCTGTGTGTCGTCTGCATAGCAGTGAAAAATGACATTGTATTTCCAAATGACATCACCAAGAGGTAGCATATAAAGTGAGAACAATAGTGGTCCTAGAACAGAACCTTGAAGAACACCGAAACATACCATTGATTTATCATCGGACATACTATCCACAAGACGAACTGCGAGTCTAATATTGTGAGTAATGGAGTCGCGAGGGTTTTAAATTTGTCGCCGCTAATGGTGGGAGGCTTCGGTGGCTCAGACCCCGTAACGGGTGGTGGAGAGATCTGAGAAGGCTCAGGCTCTGACTCCGACTCGTTTCTTAGTGGGGAAAACCGGTTGACAGTTTCTATCGGCTGAATGAGCGACACCGGTTGAGCATACAAACAGCATTTCTTTCCAGAAGCCGTGAGAACATTTTCCGGCTGAGGGGACTGAGCAGAGGGTTAACACTACTACCTGTACTTACTGGTAGCACAGACCCTTTCCTACACTTAAAATTGCCCTTGCTTACAATTTTGGCTGAAGCCGGGCTTGCAACTTGGCTATCCTCACAATAAGGAGATAGCTCTCCTCCATATTATGAGTACAGCAACTGCAATGAGAAGGCATACTGTTAGTTCTCTTCGGCTGGTGGAGATCCTGCAGATCATTGTCCATATAAAGCGTCCGGGGTGAAAAAGTTGAATTAAAAAGTTGAGTGAAGACAAAACTAAGGCGTTAAATACAGAGTTTGATTAAACGGTTATTAAAAGTAAAAAGCTAAACGTTTGGCAGGTAGCCAAGTACCAACAAACAGCACAGCATCATGGAGACAACACGGAGACAACTCTGTCACCCTCTGTTTATAACTCCTCTGTTGTCCCTCTGTCACCCTCTGTTTATAACTCCTCTGTTGTCCCTCTGTCACCCTCTGTTTATGAGTCCCTGCTAAATTACCTTTCTTGTCCTCCGTGTGGGGATTTTTCGTTCCTCTTATCTGCTTAACTCCACTGTGTGTGTGTGTGTGTGTTTGTGTGTGTGTGTGAGTGTGTGCGTGCGTATGTTTTTGACAGAATGTGTACATACAGTATTTGTATGTTTGTGTGATGGCCTCACGTGTCTGTGGTTTTTCTTTCGACCTAGTGGGCCCTACATGACATGTCAGACCCTGCATGCATAGGTGGAGTCCCATCTCTCTCTCTCTCTCTCTCTCTCTCTCTCTCTCTCTCTCTCTCTCTCTCTCTCTCTCTCTCTCTCTCTCTCTCTCTCTCTCTCTCTCTCTCTCTCTCTCTCTCTCTCTCTCTCTCTCTCTCTCTCTCTCTCTCCCCCCCCCCTTTCTCTTATTCCGCCTCTCCTCCTCTCCTCCTGTATTGTAATAGCTCCTGCATGGAAGTACGCTCTCTTGAGCTCAAGGGAGGCTTGCTTGCACACACACGCACACACATATACACACACACACACACATGCCTCATCTGCGATTCCCCTCCACTTGGCTTGAAGACAATAGGATCCATCCGTCCCAGTCTTCCCCTCTGTGAAGTATGCATGATTCTCATCCTTCCTCCCCATTAGCCCTTCATGGAGCTCTACATGCATGTATGTCACTACGACTGAGTCTCAAATGACACCCTATTCCCTATTTAATGCACTATTTATGGAATAGGGTGTCATTTGCGATGGAGGTTATCACTCTGCTCTGCTAGCCGCCTAACAATGAAAAGAGGCTAGGAGGAGGAGTGTGTCCCGATAACACAGATATGGCTTCATTCGTTCATCCTTTCATAGCAGCACTAAAACATACTCCTCCAGGGCCTTGGAAGCATGTTGACGTGAACTGTTTCTATCATTACGTAATGCAGAAAAATGCTAACTCTTCATCCACACCACTCATGGTTTCTAGTAAATCGGTACTACGTCCCTTTTCTGTCACTTGTCATTTTTCACTCTGAGTGAAACTCACATTCAGTTGATTTGTAATATATGTCACTCTCAATGTCCATCTCAGACTTTGACCCATAGTCTGACTTTCTCATTACCATTTGCATGGAGTGTTGCTCTGAACGTTCTCTCTCCTCTCTCGGATGTCTTGTGTTGTGTTGTTATTCTGCTGGGAAAGCTCTTCTGTGTGCTGGACTGAAACTAATCCAAGCCACTGGCTGTCAGAAGTCCACATCACTCTCACTGTATGTACGGTGTCCATATTAGGACAGTCTCAGTCTCTGCAGGACTTGTCAGTCTCAATTCCATCAGTTAACATGGAACTATTCTACAGCCAGCACACAGAACCTGCCCAAAGAGCTATTGATTGTAACAGGTGCTAACATTGGTGTTCTAATGGGCCCTCACCATGGTTTCTATTCTCCTTAGCGATTGGTCAAGATGAACATGCCCATCGCCGATGACAATACGGTGCACTTCACGTCCACTCTGATGGCTCTCATCCGCACCGCTCTGGAGATCAAACTGGCATCTGGTCGGTGACCTCTGACCTAAACTCCTTACACACACACAAACACACACACTCCAACCACAATAATACGATAGGAATAGGGGAAATGCAAATCAATGCAAAACATAAATGGAATAAAACATTTTTACAAATATTATTAAAAAAGGAGGTATATTTTTTATATAAAGAAATAAAGAATAATATGTAATAATTCAAAAGAGAGGGTGGCGGCCTAAAAACCTGTCCTGCTAGGTCTGATGGGTAGTGGTGAGACCAATGAACTAGAATGAATAGAAAGGAGTCCCCATTCAAGTCATTGATGCAATAATGAATTGCATCTGTGTTTACCAGTCAAATTGCCATGGTCAGAGGTTCCAAGTCTATTCTATTCATTCCATTTCTATGGGTGGGACATTAGTGTTTGCTGAGTGATGAGTGTGGATGGACGTGATGTGACATATGAGTGTGTCTCCCCTCAGGGGTCCTGGCCCAGCGCCTGTGTGACGCTGACCTGAGGAAGGAGCTCTCCAGAGTCTGGCCCAACCTGCCTCAGAAGACAGTTGACCTGCTGGTCACACCATATAAAAGTAAGCGACACTGGTGGTCTGTGTGTGTGTGTGTGTGTGTGTGTGTGTGTGTGTCGGTGCATACATGTTTTATGTTTGTGTTAGAGAGCATGAAAGAGATACTGAAATAGAGAGCAATAGAGAGAGAGAAGAGAGAGAACTGAGAGAGACAAAAAAGACAGGCAATAATCTTCAGAGCACTGAGCTTCACCAAAACCCAGTCATCCCTTGAGTGAGTTTGTAGGCTCAACTGCCAGGCTGTTTTCTCATTCTGCTCTTTCTACTGCTCTTCAGTTTACTCTGTGTATGAGGGAGCTATGTTTACACACACACACACATACACACACGGCCTGATTACAGTACAATCTCCCTCATTCTGTCTGCTCCTCCAATGCCATCTAGTGGTAGTGGAGAGAAGACAACTAGTGCTTCAACTTTTCATCTCTCCTTCCTTCCCTCCTTTCAGTTGATGAGTTCAATGAGCTCATATGCCCCTTTGCGGTTGTAAACCGAGAGCTGACAGTGGGGAAGGTCTATGCTGCCCTCATGATCTTTGACTACTACAAGCAGAACCGGGCCAAGAGACTGGAACAGCAACTAGGACTGGACTTCACAGGGACAATTAAGGTAGTATATGGCCCCAACACAGAGTTGGAAAGAGGGCTCATCTTTGTCATAATTGCTTCTGAGACAGCATGGGCTGCACCATTGAGGGCTATCTCCATTTCTTCAAAATGTTGAAAGTCGTCAACGGCGCTTCCCATGCTAAAACAGGCTTTGTGGCAAGTGAGCCCTCTATCCAACTCTATGGGCCCCAAAAATGCACTCGAGCATGGGACTGAATCTCATGGATGCTCCTGAGATAAATCTACCCATTCAGACAAAAAGGCATTGGGTGCTATGGTGTTCTTTTGGGGACAAATTATTAGCGCATAATAGGCTCCAAATCCATTGAATTTGTCACTACCTCTACTTGATTCTGGTGAGAAAAGCTGCTGTGCGGTCCAGATGACTAGAAATCTCTCTGTGTCTCCTGCAGAATAAAAAGGGTGCAGCCTTCTTCCGCCCCATGATGCCCATGACCCATATGCAGGAGGAGACGCCAATCACCACTGCCAAGCCCCCGCCCCCCTCACAACCTGAACCAGAGCCTCAGCCAGAGCCCCCACCCGCCACCACCTCTCTAACCAATGGGGACACAGTGTGAGTGCCTGCCCATGTGTTTTTCTTAGCAGATATACAGTCTTTGTATAGATACACTCATCAATAAAAAATGTATAGATACATGGTAAATACACTACTGTACACTAGAAGGAAAGCAGGTAGACGTAGTAGTGGTCAATGTTAAGTGCTTATCAGAGTCCAAAACATGTATGTGTCCTCACAGCAGTGTTCTAGAATATTGGACCGTTGGCTTTCATACTTTTCGAAATCTCAGCGCGACTCAAGCAATTTCTTCAACTGTCACCACATTGAAATAACAGGAGCCACGTATGCGTTGGTTGGGAATTTTGAGGAGGTGCGCGGTCAGGCTGTGCGACCTCCACGGATGGTTGTCGCAGAGCCGGATAGATATGTCACAATGTTTGTGTGTGTGTGACCTCAGACCAAGCCCTAGAAGTGCCATAAAAGAGTCTGTATCAGGAGACCAGCTGTCTGAGGAGGACCAGCGGTCCAGAAGGAGGACTCCACAGAGGGGCCAGACAGAGGACGTGCCCTACTCCATCAAACCTCAGGTACTTAGTACATACAGTACAAGTCAAAAGTTTGGACACACCTACTCATTCAAGAGTTTTTCTTTATGTTTTACTATTTTCTACATTGTAGAATAATAGTAAAGACATCAAAACTATGAAATAACACATATGGAATCATGTAGTAACCAAGAAAGTGTTAAACAAATCAAAATATATTTTATATTTGAGCTTCTTCAAAGTAGCCACACTTTGCCTTGATGACAGCTTTGAACACTCATGGCATTCTGAGCACTTGTTGGCTGCTTTTCCTTCACTCAATTGATAGTCCCACTAAGCGCAAACCAGATGGGATGGCGTATCGCTGCAGGATGCTGTGGTAGCCATGCTGGTTAAGTGTGCCTTGAATTCTAAATAAATCACAGACAGTGTCACCAGCAAAGCAACCCCACACCATCACACCTCCTCCTCCATGCTTCATGGTGGGAACCACACAAGCAGAGATCATCCGTTCACCTACTCTGCGTCTCACAAAGACACGACGGTTAGAACCAAAAATCTCAAATTTGTACTCATCAGACCAAAGGCCAGATTTCCACTGGTCTAAAGTCCATTGCTCGTGTTTCTTGGCCCAAGCAAGTCTCATCTTCTTATTGGTGTGCTTTAGTAGTGGTGTCTTTGCAGCAATTCGTCCATGAAAGCCTGATTCATGCAGTCTCCTCTGAACAGTTGATGTTGAGATGTGTCTGTTACTTGAACTCTGTGAAGCATTTATTTGGGCTGCAATTTCTGAGGCCGGTAACTCTAATTACCTTATCCTCTGCAGCAGAGGTAACTCTGGGTCTTCCTTTCCTGTGGCGGTCTTCATGAGAGCCAGTTTCATCATAGCGCTTGATGGTTTTTGCGACTGCACTTGAAGAAACTTTCAAAGTTCTTGAAATGTTCCGAATTGACTGACCTTCGTGTCTTAAAGTAATGATGGACTGTCGTTTCTCTTTGCTTATTTGAGCTGTTCTTACCATAATATGGACTTGGTCTTTTATCAAATAGGGCTATCTTCTGTATACCAACTCTACCTTGTCACAACACAACTGATTGGCTCAAACACATTAAGAAGGAAATACATTTCACAAATTAACTTTTAAGAAGGCACACCTGTTAATTGAAATGAATTCCAGGTGACTACCTCATGAAGTTAATTGAGAGAATGCCAAGAGTGTGCAAAGCTGTCATCAAGGGAAAGGGTGGCTACTTTGAAGAATCTCAAATATATAATATATTTTGATTTGTTTAACACTTTTTTGGTTACTACATGATTCCATATGTGTTATTTCATAGTTTTGATGTCTTCACTATTATTCTACAATGTAGAAAATAGTACAAATAAAGAAAAACCCTTGAATGAGTAGGTGTGTCCAAACTTTTGTCTGGTACTGTATATTATACCAACAATGTGAATTACACAAGCAACCACCGTACCATCATTCACTCTGGTATCCACAACTCAACTCAACTATATGCATACCGTGTGTTGTTTCAGGAATCAGTGGAGATGAGGCAGGTGGATAACGATGCTGATATAGAGGGCTACTTTGGGCTGGAGGGCCATGGCAGAGCAGCCTCCATGCCTAGACTGGACTCCCAGTACTATGTAAGTCCTCCATCACTCACTTCCTTACTGTACCCCTGTACTCTCTCACATACAGTTGAAGTCGGAAGTTTACATACACCATAGCCAAATACATTTCAACTCAGTTTTTCACAATTCCTGACATTTTTGTTGTTGTTGGGTAGATCAGCTTAATATTGCAGATAGATTGTAACAATTCCTGACATTTAATCCTAGTAAAAATTCCCTGTCTTAGGTCAGTTATTTACATTTTAGTCATTTAGCAGATGCTCTTATCCAGAGCAACTTACAGTTGGTGAGTGCATACATTTTTCATACTGGCCCCCCGTGGGAATCGAACCCACAATCCTGGCGTTGCAAGCGACATGCGCAACCAACTGAACTACAGGAGGCCTGTGATCACCACTTTATTTTAAGAATGTGAAATGTCAGAATAATAGTAGAGAGAATGATTTATTTCAGCTTTTATTTCTTTCATCACATTCCCAGTGGGTCAGAAGTTTACATACACTCAATTAGTATTTGGTAGCATTGCCTTTAAATTGTTTAACTTGGGTGAAACGTTTCGGGTAGCCTTCCACAAGCTTCCCACAATAATTTGGGTGAATATTGGCCCATTCCTCCTGACAGAGCTGGTGTAACTGAGTCAGGTTTGTAGGCCTCCTTGCTCGCACACACTTTTTCAGTCCTGCCCACAAATGTTCTATAGGGTTGAGGTCAGGGCTTTGTGATGGCCACTCCAATACCTTGACTTTGTTGTGCTTAAGCCATTTTGCCACAACTTTGGAAGTATGCTTGGGGTCATTGTCCATTTGGAAGACCCATTTGCGACCAAGCTTTAACTTCCTGACTGATGTCTTGAGATGTTGCTTCAATACATCCACATCATTTTCCTTCCTCATGATGCCATCTATTTTGTGAAGTGCACCATTCCCTCCTGCAGCAAAGCCCCCCCACAGCGTGATGCTGCCACCCCGTGCTTCACGGTTGGGATGGTGTTCTTCGGCTTGCAAGCGACCCCCTTTTTCCTCCAAACAGAACGATGGTCATTATTGCCAAACAGTTATATTTTTGTTTCATCAGACCAGAGAACATTTCTCCAAAAAGTACAATCTTTGTCCCCATGTGCAGTTGCAAACCGTAGTCTGACTTTTTTTATGGTGGTTTTGGAGCAGAGGCTTCTTCCTTGCTGAGCAGCCATTCAGGTTATGTCGATATAGGACTCGTTTTACTGTGGATATAGATACTTTTGTACGTGTTTCCTCCAGCATCTTCACAAGGTCCTTTGCTGTTGTTCTGGGATTGATTTGCACTTTCGCTCCAAAGTACGTTCATCTCTAGGAGACAGAGCGGGTCTCCTTCCTGAGTGGTATGACGGCTGCGTGGTCCCATGGTGTTTATACTTGCGTACTATTGTTTGTACAGATGAACGTGGTACCTTCAGGCATTTGGAAATTGCTTCCAAGGATGAACCAGACTTGTGGAGGTCTACAATTTTTTTTCTGAGGTCTTGGCTGATTTCTTTTGATTTTCCCATGATGTCAAGCAAAGAGGCACTGAGTTTGAAGGTAGGCCTTGAAATACATCCACAGGTACACCTCCAATTGACTCAAATTATGTCAATTAGCCCATCAGAAGCTTCTAAAGCCATGACATCATTTTCTGGAATTTTCCAAGCTGTTTAAAGGCACAGTCAACTTAGGGTATGTAAACTTTTGACCCACTGGAATTGTGATACAGTGAATTAAAAGTGAAATAATCTGTCTGTAAACAATTGTTGGAAAAATTACTTGTGTCATGCACAAAGTAGATGTCCTAACCGACTTGCCAAAACTATAGTTTGTTAACAAGAAATTTGTGGAGTGGTTGAAAAATGAGTTTTAATGACTCCAACCTAAGTGTATGTAAACTTCCGACTTCAACTGTAGGACCCCACCAGAACCCCGCCAGGGCTGCCGATGTGGTGCCTGCTCAAATCAAACAGCATTAACTTTACAATTAGGACAATGTCAGCATTAGGACAATGCTAGTTGTAATGCTAGTAAACATTATATGGGTTTTGATATCTATAGAACGACACAGTTTTTACTAGCAAACTTGACAGTATTCAATAATACTTTCTCATATAGTTGGTAATAGTTCATGATGATATTATTATGAGACACAGTCAGAGAGAAAGGGATTGGGGAAAGTAGTCGAAGTGAAAGAGAACATACAGTAGGATAGAGAAACAGAGTAGGAGAAAGACAGAATATAAAGGTAGGTAGCTAGAAATGAATTAGTGAAAGCAGCCACAGGCTAACTAAAGCAGAGACACTGTCTGTCAGTGCACATGAAGTCATCCTGCTGACCTTATGTGCATCTCAAATGTCAACCTATTCCATATACAGTGTACCACTTTTGACAAGGGCCCATAGGACTTTTAGTATGTAGATATTATGTGACATCTCATTACAATATTTCCTCCTCAAATCTGAATGTACAGCCATTTCCCCAGCAGTACAGTGACCTTTTACATTACAGTCATTTAGCAGACACTCTTATTCAGAGCTATTTACAGTAGTGAGTGCATACATTTTCGTATTGGTCCCCGGTGGGAGTTGAACCCACAACCTGACGTTTCAAGCACCATGCTCTACCAACTGAGCCACACGGGAGAATATTGTTGACCTGTCTTAACGCAGAGTATTTTGAATACTACACAATATAAAATATTAATGTTTTAAACAACTGATGATAATCTGATGGCCACATTGTGTAATATACTTTACTGATGTACATTTATACTTAATAATGTAATATGCAAATCTCTCTCTCCTCAAAAGGTTCAGGTGGAAAAGGGTGTAGGAAATTGCTTAAACCTTATTATGAATATGCCCCATCTTCACCATGCTTTCCTGTTTATAAATGTTGAAAACCATTTCCACTTATTTTTTGTTATTCTTTTGACTCATTTGTCTGTTTTCATGCTTCACACTAGACTTTTTGTCGACCTTCATTGTCTCCATTATGGTTATAGTCAATGTCTTAAAGTTTTTTGTCTGACATTTACTTTGTGCCTGTCTTTCATTTTTTTCATATTTTCCTCCCTGCTCTTGTGGTGAATGGAGTCCAGATTTCTTTCCTCTTGAAGGCCTTTTCCGGACCCTCTTTTCCAGCTGTGTGATTGGTTTACGTGTCTAACCATATGAATCCTGTCTGTCTTGCTTTGCTGTCTGTCTGTCTTCCCGTCTCCCCATCCACTCCCATCCTCTCTTCCCTTTCTCCTCCCTCCTCTCCTCCTTCTCTCCTCCTCTTGATGCCCATGGCTAATGTTGTACCCACCTCCTTCCTGTGTGTGCTGTCTGATAGCGGAACCACCCTCGCCACCTACCTGGGACCTACCTGGCAGTATGTACACCTGTTCCACCACACTCTCTCTCTCTCTCTCTCTCTCTCTCTCTCTCTCTCTCTCTCTCTCTCTCTCTCTCTCTCTCTCTCTCTCTCTCTCTCTCTCTCTCTCTCTGTTATATCTCTTTCCTTTTCTCTCTCTCATCCCTCTCTTTCCATCTCTGTGTTGGCCTCTATGTGCTCCCTCCATTCCAGTGAAGAGTTCACACACTCTCACCATCAGTTTGACACTCTTTAGACATTAGCTAAAGCCCATATTGGTGTGAGTGGTCAAGATCCATGTAATTATTGTTGAGTGTTTTAGTACTTTACCTCACATAAATCCATGGTACCCTAAACACTATTTTTTGCTTTCTTGCCATGAAGTGACGTGATATGACCATTGTGAGAATGTATGTTTGTGTGTTGTTTCAGTGGGTGGTATGTTAATGTTGCAATGTAGGCAGGGACAGCACTGCTATTTTCCTACTTTGACATAACTGTACTGTTCTCTCTTTCTTTCCATATGTTGTTGTTGTGGTTGTTGTGGTTTTTCTTGTACAAACAACTGACTGTAGCTACTGGCCAGGACTGTGTGAAAGGAAATCTTGGAACAAGGTCAATGGAGCGTATACCTCAAGAATCAATTTGGTTATGATCTACAATATCACTCAGTTGACTTACCGATTCAACAATGAATTAAGAACTAAACTTGAAAAGGACGGTTATATGGGAATACATGCATTCCGTTTCCAGGAGACTACTCTTGGCATTATGGGTCAACTGTGGTAGGGTGTCACACAGGCTGTTACCACCAGAGGGAGTAATAATGTAGCTAGAGTTCCAGCCTGTCATCTCACTTCCTTTATTTACCTCCAGTCCAGGCAGAGCCATTCGGTCAGATAAGAATCCGGTTGGGTGGAGGCATTTCCTATTAAGCAACTACAGTATCACCCTGATGTTCAGTATTGAAGGGGTTTATTAATAAGTGTAAGTATGAACTACTAATGGACCACATTCTTTAATAGATGCTGTCAATGCATTCATTTCCGTCTGTCTTAAACTTCTCAATGTTCTCTTTTGCCATGGTAATTTCACTGCGTCATCAGGCTTCTTCCAAACACATACAACTCAGAGGCTGTCAAGGTGTGAAGTACTTAATGGGAAATGTCAACACCCTGCTTATTCTTAGTTCACTAGCAGTGTCTTCTGCAGGCTTATGACAAGTTTTAACAACTTGGGACAAACATTATGTACACCCAACCCCAAATCAGACCCTACCTCTTACCCCCTATGCACCTGTGTGTATAAAAAAAATGGATAGATTTAGACAGAATGGTAAATATGGTATGGTGCCAGTATGTTGCCTCTTAGCATGCCAGAGGCTAGCTCTGATCCAGGTCATTGCATGCATCATGCTGACACTGAGCCTTCCTATAACGTCAGCAAGCCGCACATAATGCCCTGGACCAGAGCTGGCCAGAGGCAAGGTAGAGCCATTACCATATCATTACCATATTGATTATACCCTAGGGCAGGGTTCTTCAATTCCGGTCCTGGAGGGCCGAAACACTTCTGTTTTTTATTTCTACCTGGTAGTTAATTGCACTCACCTGGTGTCCCAGGTCTGAATTAGCCCCTGATGAAAAACAGAGGTGTTTCGGCCCTCCAGGACCGGAATTGAAGAACCCTTCCCTAGGGAAAGGGGCAAATGGGTTGATTTGGGATTGGGCGGTGGTATGCCAATCATTAGTGATGCGTTCAAGATTAACTGTAGTGAGTATTGAAATCGCTCAGTGTTTCAGTCAGAAATGTCTCCTCAACATCTGTGTCTGAAGAGGTTGAGCGTCGGTCTCAAGCCCAGAGATTCGTACCTCCTCGTCTGTACTGTGTCAACTGTCTAGTGAACAGTTTGATGCTTGATGCTCCAGTCCAGTGGTGATTTGGTTGTGCTGTATTCTATAACACTCTAATGCTACACTACTATGGTAGCTAGCCCTCCATCTTGTATTCCTCCACTCACCATTCTTTGCCTTTGCTCGCTCCTCTCAGCCTATCGCTGACATCAGTCCTATCAGGCGGTCGGCGTCCACGTTAGCTTCCCAGCGCCCCCAGGAGGTGAGTCTGAGGGACTACACCCTGGAGAGGCCTAGCCAGGCCCAGGCCCAGTCGTCCTCAGCCCCAGGCCAGGCTCAGGATAGGCCCTACCACCATCACCACCACCACCGCTGTCACAGACGCAGGGACAAGGACAGGGACAAGAAGCAGAAGTCACTCGACAGGGCATCCAGCGTGCAGCCTTCTAGTACAGCAGGTGAGAGGGGGTACACACGATACATGCATGTGCAGACACACACATTAGCAACGTGCATGCCCCACCCACCTCAGGATTCCCCTCTCTCCAGCCATTACTTCCCTGTTTTTGTGGGGTGAAAATTCACTTGTCACGTAATTGTTGCTGAATCGATTTATTTCCAACTCTTGCTTGTACAAAGCATATTTTTTTCTTATACATGGTCGCCACTGAATGTTGACTATGCAAGAGGATTTGACAAAAACAATCATGAATATGAGTGAAATCTATGGTGAAATATATGAGAGATTGGTGGATTGTGAGCGTGCGGTACCTTAGAAAGATGCTGGTTGCATAAAGATTAATTTATACTCAAGTGTACATGCAAATTATACACAATAAAATGTTATTATTATATCAATATAATAACAAAACACCTAAATAAGCCATATATGGCTTAAATATGTTAGCATGGGTCCTTTCATACAAGATCAAAATGTACATTTGACATAAAGTTGAAATGTGAATTCCCACCAAAACTGGTGTATTACATTGACTTTATGTCTGTCATTAAACAATTGTCTATGAGCTATAATTCAGTCAATATTTAATGGATTTTTATTCATTCAAAAAGGGTTGAGTATCTCACTCCATTATGCAGCTGTTACATGTATCAGAATTGTATTTTTGTCCTTTTATAAATACATTTTGAAGACCGTTGCTTTACTAGAGTCACGCATAGCTTACACACGCTCACACACACACACACACACACACACACAGTTTCACACATACAGTACCAGTCAAAAGTTTGGACACACTTACTCATTCAAGGATTTTCTTTATTTTTACTATGTTTTACATTGTAGAATAATAGTGAAGACATCAAAACTATGAAATAACACATATGGAATCATGTAGTAACCCAAAAAGTGTTAAACAAATCAAAATATATTTTATATTTGAGATTCTTCAAATAGCTACCCTTTGCCTTGATGACAGCTTTGCACACTCTTGGCATTTTTTCAACCAGATTCATGAGGTAGTCACCTGGAATGCATTTCAATTGGCTTCTTAAAAGTTAATTTGTGCAATTTCTTTCCTTCTTAACGTGTTTGAGCCAATCAGTTGTGTTGTGACAAGGTAGGGGGGGGGGGGGGGGTATACAGAAGATAACCCTATTTGGTAAAAGACCAAGTCCATATTATGGCAAAAACAGCTCAAATAAGCAAAGAGAAACGACAGTCCATCATAACTTTAAGACATGAAGGTCAGTCAATTCGGAACATTTCAAGAACTTTTAAAGTTTCTTCAAGTGCAGTCGCAAAAACCATCAAGGGCTATGATGAAACTGGCTCTCATGAGGACCACCACAGGAATGGAAGACCCAGAGTTACCTCTGCTGCAGAGGATAAGTTCATTAGAGTTACCAGCCTCAGAAATTGCAGCCCAAATAAATGCTTCACAGAGTTCAAGTCACAGACACATCTCAACATCAACTGTTCAGAGGGGACTGTGTGAATCAGGCCTTCATGGTCGAATTGCTGCAAAAAAAAAAACATTATTAAAGGACCCCAATTAGAAGGAGAGACCTGCTTGGGCCAAGAAATACGAGCAATGGATATTAGACAGGTGGAAATGTGTGCTTTGGTCTGGAGTCCAAATTGGAGATTTTTGGTTCCAACCGCTGTGTCTTTGTGAGACGCAGTGTGGGTGAACAGATGATCTTCGCATGTGTAGTTCCCATCGTAAAGCATGGAGGAGGAGGTGTTATGGTGTGGGGGTGCTTTGCTGGTGACACTTTCGGTGATTTACACCAGCATGGCTACCACAGCATTCTGGAGCGATACGCCATCCCTTCTGGTTTGGGCTTAGTGGGACTATCATTTGTTTTTCAACAGGACAATGACCCAACACACCTCCAGGCTGTGTAAGAGCTATTTTACCAAGAAGGAGAGTGATGGAGTGCTGCATCAGATGACCTGTCCTCCACAATCCCCCGACCTCAACCCAATTGAGGTGGTTTGGGATGAGTCGGACGGCAGAGTGAAGGAAAAGCAGCCAACAAGTGCTAAGCATATGTGGGAACTCCTTCAAGACTGTTGTAAAAGCATTCCAGGTGAAGCTAGTTGAGAGAATGCCAAGAGTGTGCAAAGCTGTCATCAAGGCAAAGGGTGGCTATTTGAAAAATCTCAAATATAAAATATATTTTGATTTGTTTAACACTTTTATGGTGACTACATGATTCCATATGTGTTATTGTATAGTTTTGATGTCTTCACTATTATTCTACAATGTAGAAAATAGTAAAAACAAAGAAAAACCCTTGAATGAGTAGGTGTGTCCAAACTTTTGACTGGTACTGTATGTGTTCACATGTTCACATGCATACTTACGCTCATGCAGCAACATACACAGACTGAAAGATATCTCACTATGGAACCCATACAACATATGTTGTTGAACTATGAATTCATGCAGAAATAGAGTAAGGAAACCTTTTATTCTCAGAGGCAGAGAGACCTAGAGCCTTGGCTCTTGTTCCAAATCGCTTGGATGCTTTTGCATAGTGGCAGAAATTCTGTATCGGATTAAGGGCCTGTGATCGGGTTATGAAGGAAAGAGGTTTCTGTTGCGTTTAACAAAAAGTTTGAGCCAGGGATTTTGCGTGTCATGCTTTCCATCTGACTAAGAAAGAGATTTATGAGCTCCCCGAGGAAAATCTGCTTTGTGGGGATTAGATTTTTTTTATTTGTATTCGCCGTTCCCCTTTGTACTATAACCTCAAAAGCGGTAGTTATAAAATTGGCTAAGCTGCTCCAATAGTATCTCCCCTTATGGGCGACGGGGCAGCCACTACGATGGGAAATTAGCCAGTCTCATGTACAGGCTACGACTGAGTGAGGCTAAAGCTCCCTTTTACTTCTAGTCGAGATTATCTCAGGCAGCCTGAGCCCCATGGAACAGCGGCTTCAGCAGCCAAGAGTTGTGTGGGTTTAGTTCGTTTTCTCACATAGGTTAAAGGTCATCAGTACACACATACACACACACCCATACTGACCTATTGTACCTCATACACACCCACACAGATACTCTACCATTCCACATGGCTCGGAATCCATAATGACACCCCTAAATCCCTGTTTGCTCTGTATGAGCTAGAAGCGCAAGCATTTCGCTACACCTGCAATAACATCTGCTAAACACACATGAGGGTGGGAACAGACAGCCCATCTCAGTATGGAGCGCAGTTCACAATGCATGTAGACCTATCATCTCATCATTTCTTGTGATAGGTAGGCCTACATTTGCTGCAACATAGCCTATGCTACAGTAATATAAAGCCAAATGCGCGTCTAATTTACCCATCTCCATCTGGCTTTCACCTCATTTTTTTATTTTAAAGATATATATATTTTTTTAGTGCAGCTGCAGAGTTTTAAAACAGCCTCTCACTCAAATATCGTTGTTTTAAATCAGTGCACGCGTGAGCACTCTCTGAGTGCTATTCAATGCACAGACCATCTTCCTTTTTCCACATTTTGTTACGCTACAGCCTTATTCTAAAATGGATAAAAAATATGTTTATCATAAATCTACACACAATACCCTATAATGACAAAGTGAAAACAGGTTTTAAGAAATCTTAGCAAATATATTACAAATAAAAAACTGAAAAATCTTATTTACATAAGTATTCAGACCCTTTGCTAAGAGACTCGAAATTTAGCTCAGGTGCTTCCTGTTTCCATTGATCATCATTGAGATGTTTCTACAAATTTATTGGAGTCCACCTGTGGTAAATTCAATTGATTGAAAATTATTTGGAAAGGCACACACCTGTCTATTCTACAGTTGACAGTGCATGTCAGAGCAAAAACCAAGCAATGAGGTCGAAGGAATTGTCCGTAGAGCTCCGAGACAGGATTGTGTCGAGGCACAGATCTGGGGAAGGGTACCAAAAAATGTCTGCAGCATTGAAGGTCCCCAAGAACACAGTGGCCTCCTTCATTCTTAAATGGAAGGGAGGTGACCAAGAACCCGATGGTCACTCTGACAGAGCTTCGGAGTTCCTCTGTGGAGATGGGAGAACCTTCCAGAAGGACAACCATCTCTGCAGCACTACACCAATCAGGCCTTTATGGTAGAGTGGCCAGATCGAAGCCACTCCTCAGTAAAAGGCACATGACAGCCCGCTTGGAGTTTGCCAAAAGGCACCTAAAGGACTATCAGACCATGAGAAAGAAGATTCTCTGGTCTGATGAAACCAAGATTCAACTCTTTGGCCTGAATGCCAAGCGTCACGTCTGGAGGAAACCTGGCACCATTCCTACGGTGAAGCATGGTGGTGGCAGCACCATGCTGTGGGGATGTTTTTCAGTGGCAGGGACTGGGAGACAAGTCAGGATCGAAGGAAAGATGAACGGAGCAAAGTACAGAGAGATCCTTGATGAAAACCTGCTCCAGAACGCTCAGGGACTCAGACTAGGACGAAGATTCACTTTCCAACTGGACAACGACCCTAAGCACACAGCCAAGACAATGCAGGTGTGGCTTCGGGACAAGTCTCTGAATTTCCTTGAGTGGCCCAGCCAGAGCCCAGACTTGAACCCGATCGAACATCTCTGGAGAGACCTGAAAATAGCTCTGCAGCGACACTCCCCAACCAACCTGACAGAGCTTGAGAGGATCTGCAGAGAAGAATGGGAGAAACTCCCCAAATACAGGTGTGGCAAGCTTGTAGCGTCATAGCCAAGAAGACTCAAGGCTGTAATCACTGCCAAAGGCGCTTCCACAAAATACTGAGTAAATGGTCTGAATACTTACTTTATGTAAATGTATATTTAAAAAAAACTGTTTTTGCTTTGTCATTATGGGGTATTGTGTATAGATTTAATCAGTTTTAGAATAAGGCTGTAACGTAACAAAATGTGGAAAAAGTCAAGCGGTCTGAATACTTTCCGAATGCACTGTATAGCCCTATATATAGATGTCCTAGACTACCTCTTTCAGGTATTAAATTCAATGCAGTATTAGCTTTATTTTTAGCTAATTAATGATGGGTTATGCATACATATATTTTTTGCATTTCTTATACCAGTAGACTATTCGAAGTAGCATGCAAGCTATTATTTGCTGAATGTTAAATACAGCAGCCGATAGAATTCATGGGTAGTGAAAGCCTTCTGCATCTAATTCTAGTCCTATAATATTCAAGGAGGTCATTAGAGTGATGAAATATAAGGACAATGAAACATATTCATTTAACTATTGAAAGCAAGGAAGGAATGAACCAACAATAAAGAAAGAGGAGGTAGGCTAATAACATTAGGGGAAATATAATGTTAGGTGTATATATACTGTATATGCGTCAGCCTACTAATTATACAAATAGGCCCTATTATATTTCAAAATTAAAATCAAATTCGCTAGCCTATAATTGTAACTTTGTAGGCCGCATGTGCTGTCCCAGAGTCTCATGTTCTCTCCCTGCTTTATCATGGTTTGAAAGATGTGCGTAATTCCAGTCTATAAAATACACTATAATACAATACAGTACAGTAATACAGTTGACGCTCAAAAAGATTAGCCTACTGGTGCTAGTTTCATTTATTTACCCAAGAGAGCATATGGCAAGCTACATCTATCGGATGTTATGTTTTTCTGTCGTGCATAATGTGCAGTAGCCGATATCATACACTACCATTCAAAAGTTTGGGGTCACTTAGAAATGTCCTTGTTTTCCATGAAAACATACATGAAATTAGTTTGAATAGGAAATATAGTAAAATGCATAGGAAGTGTAGTCATTGACAAGGTTAGAAATAATTATTTTTAATTGAAATAACTGTGTCCTTCAAACTTTGCTTTCGTCAAAGAATCCTCCATTTGCAGTAATTACAGCCTTGCAGGCCTTTGGCATTCTAGTTGTCAATTTGTTGAGGTAATCTGAAGAGATTTCACCCCATGCTTCCTGAAGCACCTCCCACAAATTGGATTGGCTTGATGGGCACTTCTTACGGTCAAGCTGCTCCCACAACAGCTCAATAGGGTTGAGATCCGGTGACTGTGCTGGCCACTCCATTATAGACAGAATACCAGCTGACTGCTTCTTCCCTAAATAGTTATTGCATAGTTTGGAGCTGTGCTTTGGGCCATTGTCCTGTTGTAGGAGGAAACTGGCTCCAATCAAGCGCCGTCCACAGGGTATGGCATGGTGTTGCGAAATGGAGTGCTAGCCTTCCTTCTTCAAGATCCCATTTACCCTGTACAAATCTCCCACTTTACCACCACCAAAGCACCCCCAGACCATCACATTGCCTCCACCATGCTTGACAGATGGCATCAAGCACTCCTCCAGCATCTTTTCATTTGGTCTGCGTCTCACAAATGTTCTTCTTTGTGATCCAAACACCTCAAACTTCGATTCGTCTGTCCATAACACTTTTTTCCAATCTTCCTCTATCCAGTGTCTGTGTTATTTTGCTGCCTAGAATGTCAGCATCCCGGAGTCGCCTCTTCACTATTGACATTGAGACTGGTGTTTTGCGGGTACTATTTAATGAAGCTGCCAGTTGAGGACCTGTGAGGCATCTGTTTCTCAAACTAGACACTAATGTATTTGTTCTCTTGCTCAGTTGTGCACCAGGTCCTCCCACTCCTCTTTCTATTCTGGTTAGAGCCAGTTTGCGCTGTTCTGTGAAGGGAGTAGTACACAGCGTTGTACGAGATCTTCAGTTTCTTGGCAATTTCCTGCATGGAATAGCCTTCATTTCTCAGAACAAGAATAGACTGACGAGTTTCAGAAGAAAGTTATTTATTTCTGACCATTTTGAGCCTGTAATCGAACCCACAATTGCTGATGCTCCAGAGACTCAACTAGTCTCAAGAAAGCTAGTTTTATTGCTTATTTAATCAGCACAACAGTTTTCAGCTGTGCTAGCATAATTGCAAAATAGTTTTATAATGATCAATTAGCCTTTTAAAATGATAAACTTGGATTAGCAAACACAATGTGCCATTGGAACACAGGACTGATGATTGCTGATAATGGGCCTCTGTACGCCTATGTAGATATTCCATTCAAAATCAGCCGTTTCCAGCTACAATAGCCATTTACAACATTAACAATGTCTACACTGTATTTCTGATCAATCTGATGTTATTTTAATGGACAAAAAAATTGCTTTTCTTTCGAAAACAAGGACATTTCTAAGTGACCCCAAACTTTTGAACGGTAGTGTATATGTATTAGATAATGACACAATCATTTGGGCTTGTGCTCATTAAATGCCTTTATTGTAGGGCTCATAAAATGTATTTAATGTATGGCTCATCAGGCTCAGGTAGCATCAGGCTTGTATTTTCGATCAAAGCTCTAATCAAATCCAAACATAGGCCTATTTCTGTGCTTTATAATACTTTTGAATGACACTTCGGGTTTTGGCGGAAAATACTGGGTTACCCGGAAGAAAAGTGATTTATTCTCGGGATTGAACATTTGTAAAATACCAGGAAAATATTAAACCCTAGTGTCCACTGGTGGCCACACAGAGTTCATCTGCAATAGAGATCAGGCCGTGGTCGTGGTCTGGTGGAGCGTATTTGTGCCTGGGGTGCAGGGTGTTTTTTGTGTTGGCGTTGGAGGGCAGCAGCAGCTGGGCTTTATTGATGCAGATAAAAGGCCCCAGTGGACAGGCCCAGTCAGGGGGATTTATGGACACCTCTTGGCAGGGCAACAGAAAACCCAGAGAGGAGACGGAGAGAGGGTGAGGGAGAGAGGAAAGAAGAGAGGGAAGGAGGGAGAGCAATAGACAGACGGAGGATGAGAAAGAGAGAGAGTTACATTTCTCTGGGCCAGACACACCAGGACAGGGCTCTGACACATTAAGAGTGAAAAACAGCCACTTAAAGCTGTTTTGTTCTGACATTGTGGTTTTCATCAGAGCATAGATTTTTTGAAGGAAATTGAAAGTTCAGCAGAAATCACTTCCTGATGTTTTGGCTTCATGCATTATATTTGGTCTGAGGGATGCACACCCACATGCACATAAATATACTCCACAAGACTGTAGGTTACGTCAGTCCCTAATCCTGTGTGTGTGTGTGTATCTGTGTGTCTGTGTATGTGTATGTCGGCCTCAGGTTTGCCTGCTGACCCTGTCGTGGAGGGCTTGTCCAGGGAGCGGGCAAGGGAGCGTGACCGTGGCAGGCCTCAGGAGAGGAGGCATCACTCTGCTGCCGGGGAGAAGCAGCGCTACTACTCCTGTGAGCGCTACGGAGGCAGGGAACACTACCACACCAAGTCAGCCGGCCCGAGCCGCTCCACCTCCCCTGGAGAGACCCACGACCTAGGCCTCTTCAAGCAGGTGAGTGGCCCTGGAGCTTTGGGTTTTAGGGGGAGATGTTAGTGCTGCTTTAGGTTGAGATGATTCAGGTTAGTGTGGCCAGTATCCCGTCCATCCCTTCCTCTCTACTACTCTCTGATTTGTTTACTGTCTCTTGCAGTGTATCGGCATGGCTAAAGGCAGCCAAGTGGTCTTAACCTCAGCGTCCAGCACGCCCTGCCGTGGGCGCAGACAGCTCCCCCAGACCCCCCTCACACCCCGCCCCGCCGTGGCCTACAAGACCGCCAACTCCTCACCCATGCAGTTTGGTGCCACAGGGCAAAAGTCCCGTCTCAGCCGTGGCCTCTCGGAGCATAGCGCCCTGCTGGAGTCACCCTCCATGCCCGTCACCCACATCAGCTCAGACCCCAACCTGAGCCCCCAGCCGCGGGGTGCCCCTCCACGCAGCCTCCCTGAGGAGCCTGATGACTTCCAGGACGCTGTGAGCACCCATGGAGGGGGAGGTGGCCGCTCCCCCAGGACCTCTGCCTCAGCCTCCCATGGGGCTACTGAGCCTTCCTCTGCATCTGCCCCACAGGGCCGGGCTGGGGTCCCAAACGGGTACCACTTCACTCTGGGGATCAACGCCGGTTCGAGTTCTAACACCAGAGGAACTGGGAGCTTCCGGGAGAAAGAAGAGGATGACTGGTGCTAGCGTAGCTTATCTAACATCCCCCTTCACATGTCTGAAAGCGTTTTAGCTTGAACCTTGATGAACTCGCTCATCTTTTGTACAGATTACAGTACAGTGTTGATAATATATAATATATGCCATTTAGCAGATGCTTTTAGCCAAAGCAATTTACAGTCATGCGTGCATACATTGTATGTATGGGTGGTCCCAGGACTCAAACCCATGGCGTTGCAAGCACCATGCTCTACCAACTGAGCTACAGAGGGCCACATGTCAGTTGATGTCAGTTCCTGTGTGCTCATAGGTGGCCAAGGGAGAGGGATATATTCCAAGATGTGGAATATATAGCACTAAAGGACAAAGGACACCTGATCTTACATTTTCTCAATTCCATTCTTGCACTGAAATTAAAGCTTTGATGGTGTGCAGAGCACATGTGAAATCCCTGTGAATATTTTGCATTGGTCAGTGAAATCATCGTTTTAGTAGACGAAAAAAAAGCCAAAATGTCTTCCTACTGTCTTTGGAGGAAAACAACTAAGACTGCAAACTGTGTTTCTCTGCAGTATTGACCAGATAAAAGCCTTTCTGTCCCCCTCTGTCCAGATCTAAAAATGGGACTACATGATATTGCTGGCTAAAGGACAAAACACACCGTGCCTACGAACGGTTAAAAGCAGCGGTTGGCCGTCCTATCGCCACAGAATAACGGCCGCCTTTTTCTATTCATTTCCAAATGATTCTACACGATGAATCGCCCCCTGCTAGTTGACACCCAGCCGGTGATTTACTGTGCATGGCCGACGTTCGTTATGGTGTGTCTTGTCCTGTAGTGTGGCCCTGGAAGTAAAATGAGTAGAACCAGGAGGTACAAGTGATGATAATAATGCACTACCACCCTATCCCTTCCCTCTCTGCAGAAAATCCTTTGGTATCTCTTTAACTCTTTCTACACAAGAGCTTTGTTTTTTTTTACTGATAGACTGCTGTAGGTACACTCTTAGAAAAAAGGGTTCCAAAAGGGTTCTTCGGCTGTCCCCATAGGAGAACCTGTTTAGGTTCCATGTTGAACTCTCTGTGAAAAGGGTTCTACATGGAACCCAAAAGGCTTCTACCTGAAACCAAAAGGGTTCTACCTGGAACCAAAAGGGTTCTCCTATAGGAACAGCCGAATAACCCTTTTAGGTTCTAGACAGCACATTGTTTTCTAAGAGTGTATTACCAGAGTCATATATAGAGAGTTGGGCCAATGCGGTTTATGTCTGAACGATCCGAGACCGCCACTTTCTCCTCCATAGCCACTGCTAAGTGATAATTGGCGCTTCCGCATTGTGCAGACTTGGATACACATTATCCCGAATGCTAATCAATAAAAACATCTGTTAAATTCGCTGCTCTGTTTTGCTTGTTTACAGCAGGTCATTTCATAGGGAACTGTCGGAGGCGCTCTCCTATTGTTACATCAACAACATTTCAAGAATAAAGGCACTAACATGGCAGCCGTTCTAAAACCTGGTCGAACTCTCTCTATATATATACGGCTCTGGGTTACAGTAAGATGCATTAGGGATAGTATATGGTTAAGTAGGTATAGTATTGCTGCTGTTTTCCCGTGTCACCTATGACATGTTGAACTATTTCTGAACAAAATAACTTAAAAAACACAGAACGACCGAAGATTCTAATTTATTTTTTATGGAACTATAACATTAAATTGAATATCTTTTCATGATGTTCATTTTTTGTAAGTTGTACCTAGTGTAAATTATATGAGTGTAGTTGGGTAGGTCAACTCTTTCTAACGTATTGCTCTAGTGGCTGAATACCAAGTGCCTATCATTAAAGATATGTTATTGTCGTTATAATGCTGCCCAACTTTTGTGATGTATCAACAATGGAGAGGAGAGGATGGAACGTATGATATAGGGTTTATAGTATATGAGGTGTATATAGTCACTGTTATGCATATGAGTAGAAATGTAGATAGTTGTAAAGCAAAGAGAGGTTTACTGAATTCAAGGAATACAGTAACAAAGCTTTTTGTTTGAACCTCCAATGAGGAAAAGAATGCAACAAATATTTGTTTTTCTAATGATTGTGTACAATATAGTTATAAGTAGGTCAGAACTACAGATCTAAAGCAAGCAATGTAATGCATGCCAGGGTTTTGAACTTGTCAAAGTTGTCTACTTTTGCTTAAGGGTGTGTACAGAGCTTTTGCCTTTCTCTTCCAAAAATATACAGTACTGCCAGAGGGAAATGGAAGGCAAAGTGGTTCCAAGGGAAAAAGTGCCATTTGTGATTCCCTCCAACTAGGAAAGTTTCACTTTACGTGTTCTTATTGATAGAAACAATATATTCAAGTATCATGTTTATAAACACTTGCCTCATATCTCTCATATATGACAGAGAAGTAGAGTAAATGTACAGTATGCTTATGAATTCTGCCACTTTTGCCCATATCTCATGGGTTTGTTTTCTTCCAAATATATTTATCCTGAAGGCAGGGTTGTGTGAAGGCCTTCACTAACTGATATATAGCCTACAACTTTGTGTGTTCACAGGTATTGAAGGGTTACGTTGACTGTTGACTCTTTCAAGTAGGGCTATGCAACAAGATGACACTTTGGGACTAACTCTCACCTGCCCTGTAGCTTTACCCTCTGGGTTCTCCAGATTCAGGCTTTAGCATGATTGTGACCAAATTGTACTTAGGATTTATTTTCAAAGAGTTGTAAAATGTAAATGTACTATATAATGTACATTGAAAATGCATTGACGAAGGCACAATTATTATACATTGAATTATATCAAACAGGGCATTGTGAGTTCAGCAAGTCGATTGCATGTAACCTGATAGAACCACCCAGATATAAAAATGTGTTTGATTTTATTGTACTGAATCAGAAATCACATATTTATTTTGTTTTCTAATGTCAGATATATTGTGCAATCTATTTGATGGATCGTCAAAAGGTGAAGTATTAGACTTTGAATCGAAGTCTTTAAAAATGAACATGGCTATTTATAGGGGAAGGTACAGTAGCAATGTAGATTGCAAGAATCTTCCTTGGCCTCTAAAAGTCACTATATGGTGCCATAGTGGAGGAGAAAGCAGTTTGCCGCCCATAGATCTGTGAACAGACCCTTTATTTATTCAACCTCAAACACCCCACCCCAAACACCCATTATATAGTGTCCATTTTAAAACCGCACCAGTTTGTCTCGGCATACCTCATCCAGTTTTCCTGTGGCTATATTCCCTGGACATGTCATGTTTGCATGTTATGAAAAGTATGTGCATGTGCAACAAAAAAAAACATTCTTTATACAATCTTTTCACTGGTTGTATTTTCTGAAGATCTTTAATACATATGTTTTTGTTTCTGGAAAGACAAAAGAGCTTAAATAACAACATTTAAACAAAAGTATTGAACTATATTTGAACCATATGTGTGGTTTAGTGAAGAAGGGTTGTTTTCTGAGGTTCTGGAGCAACTGGGTCCTTTGCTGTCGAATATGTTATATGACTGTCAATCCTACAGTCATTTACACCATTACATTTTGTATGAATTGAAGTCCTTGAATAAAGATATATGAAAATGAATACAGCGAATGAGTTAGTATATTTCTTGGTGATACTCACCTGCTTTATGGTGATCTGTTTTGTTGTGGATGTCTTTACTGTAAGAGTGACATATGTAGGGGCTTGCTTTTTACTCAAATATAAGTAAATCATTAGATGTTATGTTTCAGATTTGAATAAATCTGTATTTTCATCAAGCCTTTGTAGTCTTCCTCAGATGAGGCTGAGCCCCATTGACCACCTCTGTCAGGAGAGAACTGGGACCAGAAATCGCCCTTGCATTCCTAACACACCGCCCCATTTTTTTCCTTGAGCTCCCACACCAGACAATGTTTTCCCTAGAGGTCCCCACACCGGACAATTTATTTTGTTGAGGCCCCAATTATTAGCCAGATCATTATCATTTTGCGCAAAAAAAGAAGTTAGACAGGCCCATCTGGCATGTGCCCGAAATGCCAGATGGCCAGTCGGCCCCTGACCTGTCCCCAATACAACTTGTTCTCCAATTTTATTTGAATATCCTGCCTGAAACACTTGCCTGGAGCTATCTGTCTACTAGCCTAGTCTGTCACATGCGGGAGACAGTTCGTGATGCAGAGGTGTGGGGACCATAGAGGGGTTTCATTGGCTTGGATCGCAAGGGTGGGCGGGGAGCTGTGGAGTATTTGCGCACGAGCTCGTCTTGGATGAGAGAAGGTGGAGAGGTTGCCACAGATGCTTTTGGAGTGAGGTCTTCAAAACAATTCAGCTAATGTTATATTCATGAAAAGGACCTATTTGTCTCAGAACTGAAGTGATATTACCTTCAGTGATTTATAAGTGAGAGGTTTTGAGTGAAAGGGAAACCTTTGACTTTACCAAAAATGCATAGCGCTGTTGGATGTTTCTGCCTCCCCATCCCTTCCACCTGAGGACGCATATCTTTACCAGTAATACATTGTTCAACGTTAATTGATTTAATCAGTTTAAGACTTTCTGATATTGAAGGAAAATGTTGCTCTGGGTGGTAAAGTGGACATGTTGTCTACTAGTGCTCTTCAAAATCAGCGCTGCCTCTTTTGATGCTGGACGCACAGACTCTGCTGGCGGGTCAGGGTCGGGGATGCTACCAACAGGTGAGGAAGGACATGTGGTTTGCTGAAATAACGTGTGAATGCATTTGATGAGTGAATGTATCTTTAAGCCTGGCCGTAAAGCCATGACCTCGATGTGCTTTTGAAATTTCCCTCACAGTAGTGCTGCAAAGTCAACTTAGTCTATCACCTAGCCTACTGTTTGCCATAATACATTGATTTCACAATTATTCAATTATTCAATGAACGATATTGAGTGGACTCAACATGCTTGTCATCTAATTTCTTTGCCTCATGGAGCCGCTGTTGTTTAATGACATTTTCTAAGGGGGAATAAGTGCTTCTTCTTTGTGTTAACTTCT